AAAGCCAATAAGTTGTGGTCAGTCGTCTCTAGATGATGGTTGTCGACAAAATCTTCAACGCGGACAACGTGCATCCAGTCATGAAGGTGGTAGATTTACAACTTTTTTCAAAAAAAAATAATAATAAATATGAAGGAAAGGGTACAGGACAGAATTAACAAGAAGCAACCGGACCTTCTCAAAAAGTTACTTTTAAAGTAGAACAATTTTTCACTTTAGCCCTATTTAAATTTTTTATTATTAAAATCGACCCTTTTTTCTTTTATTTACCAAAACCGACCCGATTTCTTGATTAGCGGCTTAATCACATTCCTAATTAGTCGGGGTTGCCAACCCCGACTATTTAGGATATTAATTTTTAGGGTTTAAGGCTTCTAATTAGGGTTTAAGACCCTCCTAAATAGTCGGGGTTGGCAACCCCGACTAATTAGGAATGTGATTAAGCCGCTAATCAAGAAATCGGGTCGGTTTTGATAAATAAAAGAAAAAAGGGTCGATTTTAATAATAAAAAATTTTAAAAGGGCTAAAGTGAAAAATTGTTCTTTAAAGTAATAGCGAAAGACTCGTCTAACCTCGGAGGAGGATGCACCCTTCTATATATCCTTCATAATGACATCAGTAATTGTGAAACCATAGAGAAATTAAAACATAAGGTAAACGCAAGCGGAGGAAGATGATTCGATATAACTAATAAATAATAATCTATTTATTTATTTATTCAGCTTAACTTAGATAACTTACACTATTTTGTCGTAAGAACCTGTTTGGATTTGTAGAAGGTGAAAGGAAGTTAAGGAAAACTAGGTGAGAGAATGGAACATCAATTTGGGGTAACAAATTTTATACTATTAGGGGGTGAACCAATGGGAACTAGGGTGAATAACTTCAACTTCTAAATGTTCCCAAACAAGGTGAATGAAGGTGAATGGTTTTCCTAACTTCCCTTCACTCTTATTCCTCTCAATCCAAATAAGCCCTAAAGTTGTCATCTTTTCCAACTCGGTTGGCCATATTTTTTTTTTAACTTCGATACCCCAAACCTTCCGGTTTAAATTGAATAATGTGCACTTGACGCCATAAATTTGTTACCAAGTTATATTTCATGGTACCATAAAGCCGTCACCTTTTTGAACATTGAGATTCAAAGTTTATTTTTTTACACTTTGATACCCCAGACCTTCAGTTTAAACAGGAAGATTTGCGCTTTTAATGCTATAAAGTTGTCGCGAAAGTGTGGAAGCTCTGGGCATCGAAGTGCCAAAAATAAATTTTGCGAGATCAAAAGCGCAAATTACCGTAGGTTTAATTAGATTTGTTTAGAAATTAAAAAAAATATGAATTATTTATTAGTAATAGATCTAGTAAAGTGACTGACCTGCTTAATTTTCTTCGTCGACTCGACGGTGACGGCGAAGGCGGCTGCAAAGATTTCTCATCTTATTCTTTTTCGCGAGGATTTGAAACGGGTAATTTACCCAATGGCGTTCATTTATTCGGGCTAGCTGATGGGGGCCCGGCCTAGTTACTCTGAGAGGGAAATGACAACGGCCCATTTAATTGTGACGGCATCATGGACTCGAACGACTCCCCCTCGGATTTGAGTTACCCTCGTCCAAAAACACAGAGATTTACCCCGACTAAAACAAATTGTCTATCATTGAGCTAACAATAATTACTACAAAAAACTAAAGTAACTAATCACATGTATTAGGTAAAAGCCTAATACGCAAACTTCAAAACAAAAAAAAGCAGCAAATAAACTTTCTTATATTTCTAATAGGTTAATCGCATTCATCATTTTGGTGATACTTCTTTTTGGGAAAAACTTATGCAAGCAGAATTATGAAAGCTCCCATAAAAAGTAAAAGAGACCCCACCCCGCAAGTAGGCGTGTTAAAATGATCAAATTAAATCGAATGCTGAGATGTTCGTATTTGTATGTTTAAAATTATGGAATTTGAATATGCATATAACTAGAGTTTTCAAAGTTGAACTCGAATACTTAGTACTTAATAAATATTCATGAAGATTCATGAATATATAATGAATATCAAATTATTATTTCCGCTAAAGAATTAGATTATCAAATAGTATTTAAATTTATAAATAAAAATTATTTCTTTAAAATTATGGCGGATATATATTTAATTTGAAATTTTCATTAGAAATTTTATTTAAGATTCTTTAAGTCTCTCAAAATGAGCATATAGAACTTAAGTAGAAGTTGTTTGTGTTGTTGAAAATACAACATCTTGTGCTTAATTATACAAATTATAAGTAATCAAATATTTAATAAGCAAGCAAATCGAATATAGATCTGGTTAATTTTACGGAATTTGTGTCAAGGCCCTAATATGAAGAACCTAAAAAACCTATTTAATGTAATCAGGCCCCTCCACATCAACCGTATAGAGAAAAGCTATTGTATTTTCTCATAAACCATAAAATGCCCTTTTCCTTCCCCGGGACACTGCGCCCCCATCATATCATAATATTTGCGAACGTCAGATCTCATTAATGGCAATCTAATGGTGGAATTGGAGGGAAATTCCTACCATGTTTCTCTTTCATGAGCAATGACTCTTTATATAATTATTTAGGCTTTTTGCTCTTCAACTATCAATACTCCTCTTGTCCTAAAATTTTCTTTATTACTCCTACCTTTCCTTCATTAATGGCTGAGAAGACTATCATCTGCATAGTCTCCTCAGGTGATTAAGTCATTTTCTTAAAAATTAACTCTTCAACCATCATGATGGAACTGAATTTGATATGTCAGGGAGGTTAAAACTTCCATACGATTCTTTATCGTTGGCATACAAAGGTGAAACAAAATGGTAACTTTAGTTTTGTGATTGAGAATGAAGATGATTTGTCATCTATGGTGGAGCATAGTCTCAATATTGGGTGTAAAAAGATTCATATGAGAGCTTTTCAAAAGATAGAGGATTTGACTTTCCATAACAACCAACAAGTTCCACAAAACCTGTAAGTTATTGATTTTTTTTCAAAAGAAATTTGTAATTTTTATTTGAACATCGTGGAAAGATAAATTTTTAAAGAAACGTTGGCTAAGTGTGATTTCTATTTGACAATTTTTATGTTAAGTTTAATATTTATGATGTTAAGTCTAATGAGTTGGAAGGTAAATCTAAGGGCTTGTATGTTAAGTCTATTGGGTTGAATAATAAGTCTAAAGATAGAATGTTAAGTACAATGGATTATATGTTAAGACTAATTTATTATTTGTTAACTGCAAGTCATTATTGTATGTTAAGTCTAATTTATAGTATGTCAACTGCAAGTCGTTACACGTTAAGTCTAACGCGTTGTATGTTAAGTTTAATATGTATGATGTTAATTCTAATTGGTTGAATATTAATTCCATAGAGTTGTCTATTAAGTCTAATCAGTTGAATGTTAAGCATAATTTGAAGATGTTTTAGTCTAATGAGAAGAATGTTAATTCTAATAAAAATAATATTAAGTCTAATCTGTTAAATATTAATTCTAATGAGAGAATATCAAGTCTAATCTATTGAATGTTATGTCTTGTTTGTTAACTTAAATTGGTTCAATGTTAAGTCTTGTTTAGTTTTTATTATTTGTTTAGTTCAATGTTAAGTCTAATCAGTTAAATGTTAAGCGTTGTATGTTAGTTTTTATTACTCGCATGTTAAATGTTGATTTGGATGTGACGCACATGGATATATATTTGGTGTAAGCCTATGCTTATTTCTTTCTTGATAATCATGTATTTTCATATAGTAGTAAGTTGTGGTGTATATGTGGTTGGTTTCACTACTGGTTGGCCTTTAGTAATTCTTTATAAAGTGTTTGGTTATATGAAATTTATTTGTTTTCTTAAAAATATATGCATCTCGAGTTTATATACTGGTATAGGTTAGATATAAGTAAGTCATTAAAATAAGGTTCAATGTGCATCTATGAGGTTTTTATTTTAACGCTAAGACCCTAGTTTGGGTCTCATCGTCCTGATCACGGGGTATATAATAGTGGGATTTACTAAGTCAACCGGAGTATCGAAGTGTTGACTGCATTGAGACGTAACCTACTTATTTCCATTGCATGTATATATTTTTTAAAATGTAGCATTATAATTTTCTACTATTTTAGTATTTTGCTTATCAAGTCAATTCATTTTAGTTTTGCAAAATTAATGTTTAATGTATGAATTTATCCACTTATTGAGTTGTGAACTCATTGTGTTGTTTTTATTCTTTTCAGAGACTCGGGATTAGGTGGAATTGATGATTTTCAAATTCTTAGAATGGAGCAAGGAATAAAATTTGATATTGTTATTGTCTTCTAGGTGAAGGTTAAATAAAGTCTTTGATGTTTAGTTGATAATTTAAGAGTTTTGTAATAATGAGATTCTTTCCTTTAGGTCGAGTTTTATTTCAAGTTGAGCAATTTTTATTTATGTCAAGTTAATTAGATTAATGTTGACTTTTGAGATTATAGAGAATATTTACTGTTGGCTTTAGTTCAATGAAGAGATTATTTTAATGGTCTTTTGATGAATGTATATTTTTGGAGGACTTTTCACAGGTTTAGTCTGGCTCCAATATTTCTTTTAGGTTCAGAAATTGGGGTCGTGACATAGTCATTCAAGGGCCTCCCGAAAATTTATTGCGACCCAATTACAACCCATGTTGAAAGTCCGGCCAGACATACGCCCTGTTAATGTGCAAAAAGAGTTTCTAAGTCACTATAGGGTAAGGGTCGAGTATAGTAAGATATGGTGGGGTAAAGAAAGAGCACAATAATAATTATATGGTGATGCTTATGAGGTCTATGATTAATTATGATAATAAAAGATAATATTTGCCCCCATTGATTTGCAAAAAGCGTTTAATGATGAGTTATTTCAAGTAATTTCATGTATGTAGTATAAGTAATTGCATGCTAAGTCAAATTATTTCATGTTAAATGCAAAAAGTTTGATGTTAAGTCTAAACTATTTCCTGTTAAGTTAAAGTTATTTCCTATTAATTATGATTTAAAAACTGTTAGGTCTAATTTGGTTCATGTTAACTTTTATATTTCCTATTAATTATTTCAAAATTTATTTTTTAAAACTTCCTCTATCATCATTCTGAATATTATTGTCAACATATTTTTCAACTTCCTCCTCAAATTCATCTTGAAGTTCCTCCTCAATGGGAACTTCCTCCTCAACTTTCTTCTCAATGGGAACTTTCTTTTGAACTTCCTCCTCAGCGGGAACTCCCTCCTTAACTTTCTTCTCAACGGGAACTTCCTCCTGAACTTCCTCCTCAATGGAAACTTCCTTGCGACATTATTCTCAATGGGAACTTCCTTCTCTCCTTTATCAGAATCCTTTCCAAAGTTTGCTGCTGAATGATTTTTCTCCTCAGTTGTCTGCGGCTTAAAATTCCTGTTTTGTGTAATTTTCTTCTTAATATTTTCCTTTAGCACCTACGGGTCTATAACATCAGTACATCATACAAAAAAATTCACTATTTTGTTGAGTCTGTTAACTTCATAAATGTTTTACAATATATATTCTTCCTACGTTTTGTCGCACTCAATAATTGTCTGCAAAAATTTAGCAAAATTTCTCTGTAAGATAAGTTGTTTCTCAATAGTAGAGCCTCCACCTCATCTTTCTTTTCAAAAGCATCGTCAAGATGCTTTGAAATGATCTAAGATAATTAACATGAAATAGCTTACAGTTAACATGAAATAATCTAGACTTAATATAAACAGAGCTATAACTAACATCAAAGTTTATGTAATTAACAACAAGTAAATTAGACTTAACATGAACCGCTTAAACTAACTAAAAACTAAATTAGATTTAACATGATATAACTTAAACTTCACAAATAAAGTATCAGAAAAACATACATAGCATATTGAGTCATTCTTCTTGGCTTCCTCATTCTTCACCTTTTTTTTATTCCACAAGACTTTCTAGTAGATCTTCAACATAACTTCGAATACTCATTGATGTTGTTCCTTTTTATCCCTTCTCCCCCTCTTCATTTTTGTACAGTTTAGCAAAATATTCCCTTCATATTTTTCTTTTGGGGTCCCGATTGGTATAAATAATTTCCCCATTAATTGAGAACCCAATATGATTATGAACCTAATCCCAGTCAAAGTTAATCGTTTTTTTCCGGTTTTGGCATCAAGGATGGAAGATGTTTCATTACGAACATCATACTAACTCAGCACTAGCTCAAGTGCTGGATGATCAAGTGCAGGAGCATCAAAGAGAATATAATACTAAAATGTGGATCCTTCATATGCATCCCTATGTCACTAACACATCTTAGGGGAAAGATGTTTCATAAATTCATAGTATGCACCAAAATTGGCGGTTAGCCTAATTTCAGCAAGATCACCAAGCTTTTCCCTTAAAATATATCAAATGTACACTTAACATGAAACTCAGATTATTT